TTTAAATGTAAAAGATAGGTTGATATTGTCACTCAATTTAGGCGCTTCAATATCACAGCAAAATACATTTCTTTTCATGTATGCCTAAAAGATATAAATCGCTACTCGACAACAGTCAATACTATCTACAATGGGAAATAGACTAGCATCTCAAATTCACGAACTCACTGTCGATTCACAAAATTGGTATATCTTTTTGAAATTTTGGCTTTACCTGCTGCTTTTCTAGCTGAGTCGAAGGCCATTTCGACATGTTTATTCTGTGAATTCGGTCAAGGCTACTGGGGTTTCTTGGCTCCTTGATGTTTTGCTGCCATGTGGTACCCTAAAAAGGTCCAACAAACGCGAATAAGCACTCAGCATTTCACTTTATTAGCTTGAACAGTGAGTAGAGCCATGAAAACAGACCGATTCTCGACGACTATTAAGATTAGGGCATGAATACTTGCTATAATCACCATTTCTCTGCAAGTGGTAACTCATCCTGTAGCCTATCATTGGATACTCTATTCAACTTTACTCAACTCTACTCAACTCTACTTAACTTTACTTAATTCTACTCTACCCTATTCAAATTTACTCAACTCTATTCAACTTTATTAACTCTACTCAACTCTACTCAACTCCACTCAACTCTACTAAACTCAACTCAACTTTACTCAAATCTACTCAACTCTACTTTATTCTACTCTACTCTATTTAACTTTACTCAACTCTACTCAACTCTACTCAACTCTACTTAACTCTACTTAATTCTACTCTACTCTATTCAAATTTACTCAATTCTATTCAACTTTACTTAACTCTACTCAACTCTACTTAACTCTACTTTATTCTACTCTACTCTATTCAACTTTACTCAACTATACTCAACTATACTCAACTATACTCAACTATACCCAACTCTAATCAACTCTACTCAACTCTACTCAACTCTACTCTACTCTACTCAACTCTACTCTACTCTACTCAACCCTAATTAACTCTACTCAACTCTACTCAAATCTACTCAACTCTATTCAACTCTACTCAAATCTACTCCCATAAACAACTGGCATTACCATCCTTTGTGCATTTACCGATTAATATGCTGTTTGTCGGATTAAACTCGATTTCAGTCACAGTTGCATAAAGGATATAAGGAGACGGTCTATCCATTTATGAATGGGCGAAATTTGCCCAATGACTAAGAAAGTCATTATAAAGTAGGCATACAAGTTCAAGCATCACATGCCTTCATCACCAACAGCAACTTGAGACTCGCCTCGTTGTCTGGTCAAATGGGGACGGGGCCAAGTTGGCTGAGAGAAGCCTCACTTTGGCTACATCTCCTTTATTTACCGAATGCAGTTATTTGATTTGTTTCTTACCCGTTTTTTAATGAAATCTAGCCTCGTCACTGGGCAGCGAGTTTTGTTGCAATGTTTGTCTTTTTGAATATAAATTTAGTCTTTCTCAAACAATATTTTTTCCCATTGATCAATTTTGCGACTCAAAATAAGAGAAAACAGTGCTCTCTAATGCATATTAAATTATTCTATCAATTTACCGGATAGAAATATTATCGAAAATGACATAATTGAGGAGAGTATTATCGAAATATAAAGGTTGATTTACCCAATTTTTCTCGTCCAAGTTGAACTGTTTAAAGAGCTTTCAAAGCTCTATTCGTATTCCATGCTCTATTGTCATTGTACTGAAAGCAGAAAGTGGAATTTGTTCACGTTGACGCAATGTGGGCTCTTACTATTGCTTCATCTTCACCTTCAAGGATCTCTGCCAACTGTTGTGTAAAAATGGTATCGGTCTATTGTTCAGCCCCTCGGGGTGCTCTATGCATTTCCTTGCAACATTCCAGTCCAACTTTTAGAAGGCTCTTTTCCACCTTCGGATTTTGCATCAGTCACCTCTTGAGGATACCCTTCGCTGGGAGAAGTTGAGCGAATTGTTCGTACCCACCTGATCGGTAAAAATTCCTTTTTATGGTCAACAGTATCAAACCGTCTGTATGCTTCGACCAGTACCAACCCAATCCGCTCAACCCTTTTTCCATCCTCCGGCCAGTCTTGCTGTTTCTGGTTGCACAGGCCAAATCTGCAATTTGGGAAATATGTTGAGCATAACGACAGAGTAAGGAAATCGTTGCACGATATGTAACCACAATCCCCATTTGTTAGGGGACGCGTAATTAGCTAATATCGTCTATAGAAATAATAATAACTAATTTTGTCCATTCTCTTGATCAATACTCACCTTTTATTTATTTCCCGGCTCTCCTTATCAGCTTGGTCAGCACGATTCTCCTATTTAGGAAGTGATGAAGTCGTCATTATCAGGAAACACTATTTCAGAATCCGCATTATTTATTCGTTTTCACTCGTTTCGCTTTGAGGAGAGTTCGGAAATCTATTATCTTTCCATATTATCGTAATGACCCTCCCTTTCCTGAGTAGAATTCGGAATCTCATGCCTAATCTACCGAGTTACTTTATCCTTTTGCAATTATTTACCGTTTTCTCTATCAGCCCAGGTATTGAAAAGACAGCTCCTAAATGCTCTATCTTAACGAACAATTGCTCAGATTTTTCCTCTTCTTTCTGGTAAACTTTCCTCATCGATAGATTTTTGGCTTGTAGAGATTCATTTAAGTTGAAGTTGAAGATACTTACGTCTGGAAAATTGCAGCTTTTCACTATAATCTTGATTTGGATAATGAAGGATACTTAAACATTTAGTCATATTCTGCAATAATCAGTTCCCTGTTGTCAGTCTTTAAAATACTTGCTCAATAATCTTAGAAGCATTATTGAGTGTGAAAATGCTATTTTAAATTATTCTTCTAGGATACATGAGTTATGTTTAACTTATTTCATTAAAGGTGATATGAGTAGACATGATGTCTCCATTCAATTTAACATAGCATTGTTTTCCCGAAAGGTATCCTTATCCAGAGCTTTTGTCCGTAAGTTCATTGTGCAGACCTACAAATAATTGTATGCATTTGAACTATAAACTTTTATTTATATAATTTTCCAATGACTTGCTTACTTGCTTCAAAGATAAATTATTATTAAAAGATAGAGTATAAAAATTAATCGAAATTTCTAGATAGGTTGAAATCATATTTTAACATTAATTTTTATAGATTAATCAACTAGCTAGGTGGCAGTCATTTTTGCGTTTGATATTTCGTTATAAAATCTTTGCAAAACCTCTTTTTCATTCGTGTTTATCGCTCACTAATAAGCCTAATAAGCCTAAAAAGTCTAATAATTTTGAAAACATTATAAATAATTTTATTTTTGCACTCATTCGGGTCTTTAATAATTTTGTGCTAAGAATATTTTATAAATGTTTTGCCCTTTTCTATGCTTATATATTATCCCTTAATAGGCTAGATACACTTTTATCATCCCGTAGATACCTTTGACCATTAGGCTTGAGAGTCGAGTGTAATTTTTCTATATTATATATTCGTGGGGTCTCTCAATAGGAGATAGATTATTGTTTCTCCATTCCGAAAGTACTCTTTCAAAGATGTTTATCATTTTTATCAAAACCATTAGAAGAGGAAATTTAAAGCCTTTTAAAAGACTCAGCTCACTTCTTTAAGGGAAAATGGACTTTGAGAAATCTAATTACTTCACTTCACTCGAAATCCAATTTGCTATGTAAAACTCAATGTATGGTGTATCGTTCTTTGTTTTGTCAATTTATCCCAACCGGATAGCCGAGTTTGTATAGCCTCTTTTAGGATGACACCTGATCAAAGTTCCTATCCTCTTTACACAAATGTGATATAATAAGTTTCAATAAGAGCTTTACTCATTCCCCATTGTATATTTCCTATAATATTACGAACAAAGGTAGGTTAAAGAGTTGAGTAACTCTGGTTAAATAAACAGGTTTGTCAACTTGTAATAATACCCTAAATCATACAATAGCTTAAAATGTAAAATTATGGGATTTTGAGTCTTGTGATGTAATGATAGAACTGAAAGCCAATATGAACTGTTGTAGAGACTGAGATTGCCTGCATTTTCACAACTAGGTCATGCCTACAGGTAACTGCTCAGGAATGCAATATGAGATTATGCAAGATTAAATGCTATCGATATCGTAATTATTGTCAAGTTAAAATCTCAATTTGATTATTTTAACTTTTCGTCATCTTGAAGCGTACGTTTAATTAAGTCAAATGTCGTATATATGCTTAGATTCAAAAAAAATTGCACCAAGAGGTGTTATATTAAATATGTCTGAGTAAATTACTGTTAGTATGGATAAACTACATAAAATATAGCAACAGTTGAAGACACTCCGATTTAAAAGTCATATAGCTTCTTTTCAAAAATTATTTACAAAATGGATTCTGAAATCAAATCTATGCCTAGTTGGTTATTGGGCTCTCATCAGATGTCTTCTGATCTGACTCTATTTTCTATGTACTAAACTTTATAAAACTAAATATTATACAATATTTATACTCAAATAGTTTAGTTTTTTTCGAAGTTATTTGTAGATTCATAAAGTGAAAATAGATAAAGGAGGAAGTATGCAGTCCTGTAAGTTTGCTCAGTGAGGCTGGACTCGGTGCGATTCTGGCAGAAAAAAGAAGAGGAATTTGAGTATATTTAAAAGTTGGTTGACCTAGTTTTCGCCAATTGGTCTTGTTGTCAGGGCGACTCAACAAAAAGCACCGCGTCTGCCGTCCTATGTTATAGTAGCTATCATAATTCTTGGCATCCGACCGTGGATTTGGTATAACCTCAGACGTTTTGCCGGCATCATCAATCAAGCTATGAACTCATCAGAGTGAGATCAACCCCTCGGCCAATGTTCTGCCAGAAAAACTACAATATCATCCCTCTTTTTTGTTATGGCTCATCTATCGACTCCCTGCCCTCTGACCCCATTCCTGTCCTATCAAAACTCTTTTTGGCAAGTCCCTCTCTCCTTCGGTTACATGCTCCGTCTCAGACATCTACTCCGGATGTTCATCATGGTTTCGTAGAACCATTTCTTATCTTTTTGGTCGACCGATTTCGCTCGGTTCCAGTCTCAGAGCACGTTTTTCTCCTGTAGCTATGAGTATCCGTATCGCTTGTTCCGAGACCACCAGATCCCCAAAGTTGTATATCAGTTCCTTGTATTTCTGTTTGATCGAGTTCACAAGACTCCAGTTCCAGTAGACGTTTAACCCCATGCGCTATTTCTCGAAGTCTTAGAAACACGTACACTGCCGCCTCACCGAGCAGAGCGGTTAGGCTCTGATTGCCATCCTTGCAGATATTAAGCAGTGCCTTCACGGTTCGTCTTCTGTATTGAACCCGTCTTACCTGAGCAAGCTGTGGACGCCTATTTCCGATCGCTGGCGACATCTCAAGTGGATTTCTAGTACATTTTGGCCATAATGCCGAATTGCTGTTACGGCTATGTTGATCCGTCTCCATAGTTTTGAGATCCTCAGGTCCCCAAAGTTATGCTGGTTTCTTCGATCAGACTTCACTCAGTAAGCACCTCCTTGTTAGATTTTCGGAATCGCTCTCCCTTCCTCATTACGATCCATCTTTCTTTGGTTTACGATAGGTCTTGCATCTAGGCATCTCCTTTTTGCTCATATTTTCTGCCATTTTGCTCAAGCAATACTCAAACTTATCGCTAACCCAACCTTCTTCCAATCTACTTGTCATTCGGATTTTGGCTCCGAGGATGCCAATGGCCTCCCTTATCTTCCGCTTCCTTGTGTTTTCATCGTATGAGGCCCTTCTTTATGCGAATCCTTCTCTGTCCTTACTCTTCTTTCTTAGTTCTCGTTCTGTATTCTCCTTTTCACGACCTGTATGTTTCCTTGTTTTAGTTAGCTTGAGAAACTGTTGCCGTGAAATATCCGAATCAGTTTGTCCAATTCTTCATCTCAGAATTCCACGTCCGTCAATCGTAGACCTCTGATGATCATGCTTCTTATTATTCCTATCTTTAGCCTGCAATTGTGATGGGACTGGAAATTGTGTAGTATCCCGGAAAAAGACTCCTTTCCAACTGCCTCTTCTTGATCCTCCCATTTGAGCAAATCACGAAAGGTAACCACGCAGCTCCCTCTACTTCCAGCTTGAATCTAATTTTTCATCAATCTGGCTTATTAAGTTGAGACATTTTTCCCGTTTTTCACTTCAATGTGACCAAAGTGCGAACTAATCGTCCAGGCACTGCATGAGCACTGCTGGTTGTAGTGGTGAAATCTTAAAGTTCTATTCTAATTTGTTCATGTACAAATCTGTTAAAAGGAATGAGAGCGGCGATCCCATGGGAAGTCTATATATTTGTGGATAGATGATCCATCTGCATGTGAATTAGTTTGTCTTCATTGTCAAATGTCTCCTGATCTTTTCTGTTTCCCTGCCATCATTATCTCGGTCAAGGATTTCCAGCAGGTCTATTAGCGCCTTTTCGCCTGAGATGTTTGTATAAATGTATTCTACTAGGACTAGGATCTGTCTCGGCAACGGTTACCCAAGCGAGGTAATACAAAGAAGCATACGGACAGTGTAAAGACGATCGCAGAAAAGGGAACTACGAAAGAACAGTAAGGACAGAGAAGAATTCACAAAAGTGGATATACCTACCTTCCTGCGGAGAAACTAAATAATTACTGCCAATACTAAAAAATGGAACAATGGGGTAGCCATAAAGGACGCTCATCCCAAGTCTACCGACGCATCATGAAGGGATGGGCAAATTGTATTGTATTGTATTTTATAAGATTAACTTTATACCACAGGACTCTGCATAAATAGACTTCAGCTCGTTTCAATGGTGCTAAATAAACTTAATGAATATAATTGCATTTAATTAATATTGTAGTTCAAAATATGATATATTGTCTATAGTTACAAGTATGTCATTAATTGTATTGGATCTTAAATACTCACAAGTTTAAATCAAATGTAATGTGTAGAGATTTATAGCCAAATAGATAAATAGAGAATCCCAAATATCACTCGATAAGCATTCGCCAAACTAGAAAATAAGAGAAATATTGCTAAGCAAGAATATAATACTAAAGTTTATCTCATACTAAAAATACAGCATAATACAAAAATGCTATTATTAGGTAAGAATATTCGATTTAAAGATAAGATTACATTTGCAATCTAACTGTCTCGCCAGATTACCTCAGAAAATTTCCCCAGGTATAGAGTTTTTGTTTAATTTTTACCGACACATTTCTAATGGAATCGTCCTCTGGTGTCTCTAAAAACCTGCCAGCAATCTTATGCCACATTCTGTTATTATTATATTTTGATAACATTAAAATATCTGTATCAATAAACCCAAACTTTGAACAAATTTGTTAATTTAAATTCAAAATAAGTGTTTCTTTACAACACTATAATGATGAGAGGAAAAGGGATTAAATAGGATAATTGTTTAAGAAGGTCTCCACAGATACTCATAAAGAGTTGGATTTCACTTTAACAATTTAAAACTAAACGAACTAAAGAGTGACTTCCAGTGTACTTCTAAGAATAATCGATGAAATATCAAAGAATATATGATGTTTTTTATGTAGCTTCATAAAGACACTTCAATAAATATGATTTTTGCATGTTAATAGGATTTCTAAATTATCACTAGATCTCTATTCATCCAATTTCATTTAAGATGATTGAGAACTTCTAGGTGAAATTTCCCATAACACTATGAGTTTCCCCATGTTTCTAATAAATTTCGCACAGCCTTGCTTCCCAAACGTGTTCTAATCCAAGGTGGACTGCAACTTTAATATCACATCGCCCTCATCAGTATCCCCAAAGGGACTCGCAACAGTTCTACGTATGGTCTCAGCAACTTAACTACAACGTAGGTGGATCACAGGGCAGATGCGAATTTCAAGTAAGGCGAGGCCTTTTATACAGTTCTTATTCATGATCATTTAGTAGTCCGAGAACCTACTAACAAACGAAAATAAGTAATCCAGTCAGTTAGACTAGAAGATACAACTTTTATTCATCTACAAGCCCAACCAAGGAGTGTAATATGGAAAAAGTCAAGCCGAACTTGAGTTTTATGTCTTACCTTTGACCAAATGGCACTTGTAGAAGTGTAGCATAGTGGTTAGCTTTTCTAGACTATAACCTGCATCACTACAAGCTGGGTTCGAGTCCCGCTGAGGTTTATGATGAGGCCTAGGCGGGAGAGAAGCTGCAGTTCACTCATGTCTGGTTGAAACTACCTTTTAAGAATCATGAACATGGGAAATCTAATGGAAACATTAGGCTTACACATATACGTGTAAGAAAATTGAATTACCAGAACTCACTACTTAAAACGTAATTGGAGGAACACATCTCTTAATAAATATCATTTTGCTTGTTCTAAAAGCTATACCATTTATACTAAATATGATTTTAGCTATAATTATCTATCAAATAATTGCAAAGATCTTGATAAAATAAATAATTGCTATTTTTATATGTAACTAAGCTATAACTTTTGTAAGAAAAACAAGTTTTGACTCATATATTTAATAGGGCATACTTTAAAAATGAATTTACATACATTAAAACTTAATATATCTAATGTTAATAAACTATTTTTTTGGCAGTTGCAATAATAAATAAAAATAAAGATATCTAAAAATTTAACGTTACTTCATAGAGACTAAAGCATATCTGAAAGGGTTTCACTTTTCAATTTAGCTCTTGTGGAAAATAAAGTATTCTTCTGATAGAAATTGTTGCCTAGTAAGAGTCTTACTTGAGGAAAATTCGTATGAACTCAATAAATAATATGCACAAAATAGTTAAATTACATACGGGGATAATATCGAATATAATTGCTGCTAATTAACAGGATAATTACATAGTTGTTAAATTTTTACCAGGATGAGCATATAAGAATACTTTTATTTTTGTTTGAAAATCATAGTGTTATTCATAGCATAGTATATAAACTATTTTATTATAGTGAAAGGCTTAAGAAGCAAAATATATATTTAATGAAAAACTGGATATAATATCATGCTTACGATGTAGGAAAATCTGAACTATATTCTATAATCCTCATTGGGTCTAATTAGACAAAAGCTAGGATAAATCTGTTTACGATTAAGACGGCCTCCTTAGGTTACTTTGAACTTCATTGTCCATTAAGTAAGCTAACCAGAATAGAATAAAAATGACAGCCCAGCTAAGTTTTATAGTCAGAGCTGATAGCATCGATGGATTTCCAGAGTAAATAAAATGCACCCTTTATAATGTTTTCGTAAAAACTGACAATCTTCCTATCAAGAAAGTCTAATTACAAGGAAGAAAATCCTCTTTATTAAGTCAAAACATATCTTCCTTTTCTTTGTTGTTTTTTAGCCATCTTCAGGTGAAGAAAGGGCTCTGAAGACTTAACTAAATTAGGACATGGTAAATAAAATTAAGAAAAATGTATAAAATAATGTTGATCATGTTATAAACAGAATACTCTATATCCTTGAATATTTAACATATTTTCTCATAGAACGGCTGATTTTGCCATTTTTATACCAAGTTACCAAGATTTTCAAAGTTTAATAAAGTGAAAATGTACATCATATTCATTCTTTAGGTATGTGTGGCTATATTATCTTTAATTATGCTTGTGCTAAAGTGCTAGGATAAAAAGTTATATCCAATAAGATTAATATTCTCAGTTGCTTCTTAGTTTAGTTGAACCCAAATTTGTGTTTCTGCGTAGATCTTATTGTCTGTCCAATAATATTATCTCAAGAGGCTCATAGAAACCCAGTTGATCTTCGTTTCTATAGTTTTAAGTGACAACATGCAAATTATATATGTACTATCAATGATATTACAGGAAAAATGGTAAATTAAATAAAATTTTAAACAAACAGCTGTCTTATGCTTTAAAATGGAGCATATAAAATATAAATGTAATGAAATCGTATGCATTGACTTCTTTTCTGATTAGATTAGTAATCACTATAATCTTTTTAAATAATAATCTCATACATCTTACCAACCAAATAATTATTTGGGACGACATTGATTTTTTCCTTAAATCCGGCTCAATAGGTATAAATTATTGTGATTCATTACCTATAACAAATCCAATCATTATTAAAAAGTCATTCTCTAAATATACAATAATCTAAAGTTAGCTGAATTAATTATATAAATATTCTAAAACAAACCTAAGAAAAATCATTTTAATGAATGGCTATATTATACTATCGGCAACACATGATATTAAATGATAATTTAAAAAAATGTGGTCTCATATATCTTCACATTTTGGCTAAATATCCATTCTTCAAAGTACATAAATCAAGGAATATTAAGGTTTTAAGTAGAAATTAAATTAAATAGTAAGTGTTATGTATGACAAGAAAACTTGACCGCTTCGAGATATATTATATCATTATAATTTTACTCTTGTATTTTACTATTACTATTATATT